CCCCAAAACCCCAAAACCCCAAAACCCCTTGTGGGTGATAATAAATTTATAAATAAATGATAGCAGGGAAAAATCTCACTAGAAAATTTTGCACAACTATTGGTAAACCAGCAGGTAAGAAGTCTCTAAGGACTCAATAGGTGGTAAACAAGTAGTGCTCAGCGGAATTCAACCTACAGGAGTTATGCATCTTGGGAATTACCTTGGTGCTGTTAAAAATTGGGTCAACATGCAAGAGGTAAATATTCAAATCTCTCTGAAAATCATGAATTTTGAGCAAATTTTATATTACCTCTAGTACCCAGATACAGAAAGATATTATTGTGTTGTGGATTTACACTCCCTAACCACAAATTATGTCTCAGATAAGGATAGCAAAGGTATTGAATCTTTTAATAAGTAGACCAAATTGAAAGCCAAGAGCAAACCTTAAAAACAGCAGCAAACTTAATCGCTTGAGGAGTTGATCCAAAAAAATCAAATTTATTTATCCAAAGCCATGTCCCTGCTCATTCTGAGTTATCTTGGATCTTAATGTGCATGACACCGATGTCATGGCTGAACTCTATGATCCAATACAAAGAGAAAAGGAAAAAGGAGGATTCTACCTCTGTAGCGTTGCTTAACTATCCATGCCTCATGGCAGCCGATATCATTCTATATCAGCCATCTATGGTACCTGTGGGGGATGACCAGAGGCAGCACCTTGAGTTGACTAAGTTGTTGATCCAGAGAATAAACGCTTTATCTGGGCTCGAGCTGCGAGTCCCTGATGTAATCAAATCTGAGCACCAAAGAGTAATGTCTCTGAAAAATGCTTCTAACAAAATGTCTAAATCTGACAGATCAATCAGATCGAGAATCAGCTTGATTGATGACCCAGAGATGATCAAGGAGAAGATCAGGAGAGCCAAGACTGACTCTCTGGGTTCTATCACTTATGATCCGAACCGTAAAGGTAAGAGCTCGTACTGAAAGTCTAGAGTTGTATAACCTTCTTAACATCTACGCAAGCGTGAAAGACATACCAGCCTCTAACCTTGAGGATTACCTTGCTGATGATAATATGTTTTCGTTCAAGATGAAGTTAGCAGACGGACTAATTGACAAAATCTGCCCTATTGGGGAAAGATACCAAGCTCTACTGCAAGAAGAAGACAGACTCCTTGAAATTCTAGAACAAGGTGCTAAAGGAGCAAATTTGAAAGCAGATAAGACCTTGGCTACGATCAGGAAGGGTCTCAAAATGTTGCCAAGAGATATGTAAAACCTCCTTCAATCTTTCTGAATCCCTGGGGTTTTGGGGTTTTGGGGTTTTGGGGTTTTGGGG